AAGCAACCAAGTTCGTACACCACCAAAGGAACAGACAATAGCCAATGGTACTTCCCATGCCTCCTTGCCAAGGAAGGACACAAGAAGGCAACACAACCCAGAATCAAAGCCCAAGTTGAGAAAAACTGGTTGGACTTGTAGGGAATGTTCACAGTGGATCCCTGATCGGGAAGCCTATGTGTCCCATATGAAGAAAAGCCATGGAAAGGTAAGCTCTAGATGGAATTGTCATGTTTCTTCCTTTTTTTTTTTTTTTTTTATAAGTTTTAGTGATAGAATCTAGTGATCATTAATATTGTGGGCAAATAGCAATGCAGCAAGAATTCATGAGGTCTGTGAGGGAGTGTGAGTAAAGCCAGAAACAAGACACTTCGTGACTGGTTGCAAACATGTTTGGTCTTGAAAAGGATGATCTATACTTTGGTATGTCACCTTCTCTGCTCCTTCCCCCACTACATGTCATGTCCAGTTTCCTCTTCCATAGACTTTGGTAGGTGAAAAGAGAGCTTGCTTCTCCTGAGTTCACTAGCTTGACAGACTCATTGGGTGTGGTTCCAGATTTTTGTGTTGAGTGCTCTTGGATTAGGTTTGCAGTTTCCCTCAGTAGCTGCCAGTAGAATTCCCCTAGTATTGCAGTTTAGCTATAATGAAAGCAATTCTGCTGCACAGGCCCACTCAATTTAGGACAGGCAGCAACCTGAGTCTACAAAGCTGTTTCGAATGATGTTAGTTAAGGTGGAGAATGACCTCTGTTCATTTACATGTTTAAAATAATGAAGGGAAATGCAATCCCTCTATGTTCTGTTGCACTCTTGTACCTGGCATTGTCTGCTGTTGTCTGTGTAATACTGAGGGATTTCATCATAATGAATGTGTGCAAGACTCATTGCAGCAGGAATCATAAATCCAAATATTCTGACTTACATGTGCCTAAAATCTTGAGTTGCATTGATTAATACTTTTTTGCACTGATTGGGCTTAGCAGGGCTAACAATCATTGAGAAAATAAGGGTCTAATTTTGTGGAAACCCTACTACTTATACCCTTAGCATCAAGATTTAGTAGTGTGCTAAGTCAATCTTGACTGAAGCCCTGTGAGAAGAGGTCATGGAGATATGGATCATCCTATCTGAGAAATTCAAGAGAAGAAAGACGGGAGCACTGGATTATCCTTTTGATAAATATAGAGGAAGGGGTGAGAGTGCTGGATTGTCCCATTAGATACATACTGGGTTTGTCTACACATGCATTAGATCTGGGAGCATTTTACTCATGAGTAAACTACTTGCAAGTAAACACTTCCAGGCACGCATCTACACGTGCAGGGAAGCGAGAACAGATTTGCAGCTAATGACAGTGTTCCCTGCCCGGGGGGGTGCTGCCTGCTGCCGGGGGGGGACACAATGTCTTCCTGCCTGGCAGGGAGCTCCTAGCCCCAGCAGAGCAGGGGACTTGGGAAGAACTGCAGGGGAGGGGCAGGTTCCAGCCCCCTGCCTTGATTCACCAGTGTGGCAGCTAGCAGCGAGCCCTAGGTTGGGCAGGGCTTCCTTGCCCAGCCAGGGGCTCACCTACTAGCTGTCCCACCAGTGGATGGGGTGTAGGAGGCTGGGACCTGCCCCACCCCTGTAGCTCTTTTCAAGCCCTGTGCCTTGATTGCCCGGTTGGGGCATGGGGCTGGGACTTGCCCATGACCGGGACAGTGCCCAGCCCCCGCTCCATAATTTTGGGGGCTGGAGAGTCTGTTCCCCACTTAGCTCTGTAAGCCTATTCCCTGGCTAGCTCAGCTGTGCAGTTAGTTACTAACACAGAGCTGGCTCTGGGAGCTCCTTGCTGGTGGGGGCTGTGGGACTGTTCCCTGCTCAGTTCCATGATTGTGGATAGGGGGCTGGGGAGCCTGTTCCCTGCCCAGCTCTGTGATCACAGGGGTGAGTAGAGAACAGGCTTTCCAGCCCCTTCCCCACCCAGCTCCATTATCACAGAGCTAGGCAGGGAACAGGCTCCCCAGCCTCTGCCAGCAGGTAGCTCCCAGCCCCAGCTCTCCTCACAGGGCTGGTACTGAGAGATCCTTATCTCCCAGCCTGAGCCCTGTGACTGCAGAGCTCGGGCTAGGAGATAAGGATCTCCCAATGCTGACCCCATAACTGCCAAGCTGGCAGTGGGTGATAAGGACCTCCCAACCCCACGGTCCCCAATTGTGATGACCGGGAGATCAGGATCTCCCAGCCCCTGCTCCCCAATCACAGTCTTGTAGCAGGGGTACATAGTCCCCTCTCAGGCTCTCACGGCAGAGTTCGCCCCAGGAGCAGGCAGCTCCTAGGGGCAGGGAGGAATCTCCTACCCCCTGCTGGTCAGTTGACTGGGAGTAGATTTGCTCCTGGTCAGGCATCTGTACAAGTGCTACTGTGCAGTAACTAATCTCAAGTAAATTTGCTACTTGCATGTGCAGGTAGCAGATTTACTCACGATTAGCAAAGTTTACTGCGCAGTAAGCATGTGCACATGTAGATGCACACGCTTACTATTCAGTAAACTATGTTACTGCACCATAAATCATCTCATGTAGACACACCCACTGAGGATGGAACGAGGCAGCTTATCAGCTGTTAAGGATTACTGCTCTCTAGAAATGGGTAAATGTGTGTGAGGAAGTTTAATTCTGATAAATGCAAGCTAAGTACAGGGTCAGGGGTATGATACCAAATGAATTTGCCAAACTGAGGATGCCAGTTAGAAAGCTGAAATGCCTAGGGAGACACCTAGTGTCACCATCTACACGTGCAGACACATACTGTGCAGTAAATTAGTCTGCTGTGCAGTTAGTTTACTACCTGTAAATACAGGTAGTAAACTAACTGCACATGTGTAGATGCTGGCCAGAAACAAATTTGCATCTGGTCAGCTCCTACATTAGGGGACCACAGAGGATGGGGACCTCCCCTGGTCCTGGCACCACTCAGCTCCCAACTCCCTGGAGGCGTTGGATGCTCAGCAGTACTGGGACATGGTAGCTCTCTGCCCCTCC